CAAGCTAGTAAAATTATCAATCCGAAGTTCCTAAACAAGTCGTTGAAAGTTTAATTTTTATATTAGTATTATTATAAGAAAGATAAAACTTAAATAAATTATATAGTAAGAAAAGTAATATGTAACGAGATATATATGTGTAAGACATCACGAATGAATTAACTTTAAAGATAATATGTGCTTAAAGGGCGTGAAAAGTTAAGGGACAAGAGGAGGAAAAAGTGTATTTAATAATTATTTATAACGGTTTTGTCTTATTCGGTTGCTTTTTAAGTGTTAACCTCTTTTATATAAAAAAGAGTTTGTTTGGCTACGTAATAATAAGGTAACCGAGAGTTTTTCTTATTATACTAATTAATTACTTAATATAACGTAACCCTAACAAGAGCTCTCGTCTCGAGTTAAATTTATATACATAAACTTACTTATTTTATATTATTACAAATAATAATTATTCTAAGAATACCTTAATATAGCTTTTTAATAATAAATAAGAAGGAAAAATAAAAGAAAAGATTAAATCAACGATTTTATTTTATTTTTTTTTAACGCCCGAAATCCATCGCTACCTACGACCAGACTAGTTTGCCCGTAGTATCTATCTAAGGTTCATTTCTTCCTGGGGTATATCTCACCAGGGAGAACTTGCACGCCATTGCACGATCCGCCTCGGCTTGCTCGTACCGAGCCCGAAGGCCCGGAGAGCTGCCTTGCATGATACCATGCTTCACTGCCTAGATGTTCTGGTTAGTATTTAGAGAGGGGAGGGGAGGGGGGTTTACTTACATCCCAAGCTCGCAGAATCCGCTCGCCTAGCTCGCACTGCGCCGTATACGACGCCCAACCAGTGCAATCATCAATCTCGACCGAAAGCCAAGACATCTTGAGTGAAATATCTTCTGTAAACCCGTTAGTTATTCTTCCTCGAAAGCGAATGGTTGAGAAACGCAAGGAAAACTACCGCTGAGCCACTTGGACATTGGTTACGAATAAACGTTTTACTCCGATATATATATACGTTACGATTGCCTACGCTTTCGAGATAGGCTTCGGGTTGGTCGTTAATCGAAATTAATTCTTTGGTTTAATAGAAATTAGAAATCGAGTTTCTGTTGGAATAAAATATGTTATAAGCTTGAAATATAGCAATGGATTAAGTAATATTGATTCTCTATTAATACCGGGAATTAAACTTACGTATTCAGATATTAGTATTTATATTTTATTTCTTTTTATTTTATTTTATATTTTTTAATATAAAGATAAAAACGAAACCAGGAAATCTTATAATCAAAGTAATATAATTAGGCGAGTGTATTAAATTTAGTAATATCTTTAGTCTTAGGGATTAAACATGGCCAGAATTATAGTTAAGCGATTATTAACCCTAGGTATTTCATTAATCTCTTAATAACAGAGAGGGGAAAGGGGGATACGTTTCTCCTCTTACACAAGTAGTAGGGGTATATTAAGATATTCAAGTAGGCAAGTAGTAGTCGAAGAGAGAATAAGAAAGGGCGGGGGAATATATATCCTTTAAACACTTCTGACCCTAAGTCACGTCTCGTAACCTCATAATCATATTGCCTTATTCGCTTATAATTATATTAAGGATTAGATTGTTATTATTATCTAATCCTTAAGGCTCCTCGTAATATAAACGTCCCGATGCTAGGACTTAAGTAGTAGGATAAAAAGTCCCCTAAAGGGATATTAGTGAGTCATAACTTGGGGATCCTACGATAAGATCTCTCCTCTTATGTACTAGGCTACTAGTAAGAATCCTCTCCCCTAATCCTTGGCTCTCGTGGCTGCACTCGGCTCTATGCGAGTATATATGCTCTCTTAATTATCTTGTAATCGTCTCTCTTATTGGACCGGCTAACGCCTCATCTCTTGCCGTCTTCCTCTAATCCCACGATCTCTCCCCTATCGAGTAGACTCGGCGTACGCCTATCACCTACTAACTGGGTTCTCGGTTAGGTCTTGCATTAAGAATGCACTCGGCTCATGCAGGTAGCCGTTTGCACACACGATTTAGTGGTCTCGCTTAAACGACATGCCTCACTTTGCACTTCTCCCCTCCTAGTCAAGGCGGCCTACTTCTCCCACACCGCCGGATTATGGCTTTTACCCCTTCGAAATCCTTGAAGCACTTCTTCGGGGGAGGTCTAAGGCCCTTTGGTAATAGAAGTAGGGGTATAAGAAGGCCCTCATCCTCCTCATCCTCCTCATCCTCCTCATCCTCCTTCTCCTCTATCGATCTTTATTAACTTCTTTTTCTCAATACCGCCTTCCTCATCACTTGATTCTCTTCGTATCCCTATGGAGTACTCTGTGCCTCACTGCAGTATCTGCTTGTCCTCGGAAGATCTGGACCTCTGTTGTCCAAATGAGGCGTGTGTGATGCCGTATGTTTGCCTCCCTTGTCGGCGTTTGCTCTCTAGCCCATACTATAGCTGCTGGCTTCGGCCGCTCTCCCTCGATATTTTGCAGGATGCTGCGGCAGGGATAGAACCCCGCCGCTCCTATCTCGTTAATACCCCGCCACCGATTACATCGCATCAGCGACGCCTGCCTTCGCGGGGCGAGTCTTCTTCTCCTCAACAACAACGTGAAGCTGCTCAACTAGCCTTGCCTTCTTCGTATCGGGAGGTTACTGAGCTATCAAGCGCGGGGCCTTCTCGTACCTACATTGAGATCAGAGATGATACTATAGAGCCAGAGGAGGGATCTCGGCAGGATCGAGCCATTTCGATTACCGACGATGGAGAGACTCCACTTGCTACTGGTTCGTTTGATATCTTACCCCGCGCTCTCTCCTTTCTCCCGTCTAATTAACCTCTTCCTAGCGCCTCCTCCGGCTATAGGTGAGCCATGGTGCCCCACAGGGTGCCAGACTCGACTCCACCCTATCCTGAACTTTCGGGAGTTCGACTCCAATGAGTATACGTTACCTCATATGGTCCAATGCCCTCGACGTGATGGGAGGTTAGAGGACGGTTACGCGGTCCGGGTCGGGACTGGGAACCCCTTGGCTGAGAAGCTCCCTGGGATGCACCCCCTGTTCCGCCGGGCTCACGTTTTTGTCTTTGTGCCTGTTCGGGAGGGGGGACCAGAGCGTCGTATACGCAGGCACTTCCTGCTAGACGAGGACCCTAGCCAACGGGTCCACTTGCCACACCCTATGTTAGCTCAGGTGCCTAACCCGAAGTGGCTCATCCTAAACCCACCCTTCGCCTACGCACCGGTTGATGTTAACTGGAACCTGATTATCAAGTACGCCTTTATTGGGGATAGATCACCGATTGGGCATGCTGCTAAGGAGGGCGAGCTGTACCGGGGCTTGGGGCTGGCGCCAGCCGTAGAGTCAGAGCCGGAGCCGGAGCCCGAGTCAGAGTTTGTTGATATTGATAAGGTTATCTCAGGGTAGTTTGTAAGACTAGATTACGAATCAAAGGCTTTTCTCTTCCTCCTCTCATCTCCTGTGATTACTCTACGAAGAAGGAAGAGAGGTCGTAAAACGTTAAGCGAGACCAAGTCAACACATACCATACCGGGATTTAAGCGAGAGGTTGATGCCTCGACTCCTTAGGCACACCTCGATCTCCGCTAGAAATTCTAGCGGAGATCGAGGTTTAGTATTAGCCGGAGTATACTACCCTAATTAGAGATATACCTTAATCTCTACTAGGAATTCTAATAGAGATTAACCCGCTAATCTTTACGTAAGATAAGGGGGGGATATATTAAGGCATAAACTTGTTACTTACTAGTATTATCTCCTACTACGTTTACTTAACGACCGCATAAGTGCTCTTGTCTCTTTATAACCTCTAGTACTTTCCCTTGCTTCAGTCATTACTAACTTTAATATGTCATCGAGAGGTTCCCCGCCTATTTTAGTTTCTTTATATATACTAGAGAGGCATACGTAAGCAGTGAGTTTAATCCTACGTTTAAAATTAAGCCTATAACTTTAATAAGTTTAGGAGGGGAGTATAACGCTTGCCCTAGAAAGACGGCAATCACGTGTAACTAACGCCTCACATATCAACACAAGACATATGACGATACTAAGCATCAACTTAGAATCTACAACCATAGAGGAAAGAAGGTAAGGAAGGAAGAAGTCTATATACAAGAGGTCGGTCTGTCTCGTACCATGGTAATCTCGGTACGTCCCGATCGGGCAGTACTAAGTGGAGCCGGTGGAAATGAGGCTCTGGGCAGTGCCGGTCGTCACAGGGAGTCGAGTGTTACGTTAAAGTTCTCCTTGGTTTGCCTGCTTACTTAAGAGAGTCAAGTGTTACGTTGAAGTTCTCCTTGGCCTACTTAGGGGAGGGGGGCCCCCTTGAGTGCTGCGTTGAAGTTCTCCTTGAGTACTACGTTAAAGTCCTCCTTGAGTGCCGCGTTGAAGTTCTCCTTAGTTAGCCTGCCTAGGAGAGTCGAGTGCTGTGTTGGAGATCTCCTTGAGTGCTACGTTGGAGTCGTCCTTGAGTGCTGCGTTGGAGTCGTCCTTGAGTGCTGCGTTGGAGTCGACCTTGAGTGTTGCGTTGAAGTCGCCGTCCCTTGAGTGCTGCGTTGGAGTCGACCTTGAGTGTTGCGTTGAAGTCGCCGTCCCTTGAGTGCTGCGTTGGAGTCGACCTTAAGTGTTGCGTTGAAGTCGCCGTCCCTTGAGTGTTGCGTTGAAGTCGCCGTCCCTTGAGTGTTGCGTTGAAGTCGCCGTCCCTTGAGTGCTGCGTCAAAGTCGCCGTCTCCTTGAGTGCTATGTTAAAGCCCTCCCCCCCTTGAGTGCTGCGTTGGAGCCTTCCTCCCCTTGAGTGCTGCGTTGGAGCGAGCCGTCCCCCCCTTGAGTGCTGCGTTGGAGCCTTCCTCCCCTGGAGTGCTACGTTGGAGCCCTCCTTCCCTAAGGGTTATATCTAATGAAATAAGCAAAAGGCACCATCAATCCCCCCCACCTTGACTGAATAGTCAAGTGGGAGAAGTCTTTACTTCACGGTTTTATGGTGCAGTGGTTAGCACATGGAGCGTATACCTCCAAGACTTAGGTTCAATTCCTAATAAGACCCCTATGTCCAAAATCGTCTCCCCAAGCAATTGGAGGGTCGATTTTGGGTGTACTTTTTTGTTCTTTTCTTTTTTATCTAGGTGCTCTTATCTCTCTATGCCTCTAGGCCAAGCTAGGCGGGACGGTGTGGCCTGATGAGACGCTCTCGGCTTGACTGGCGAAGGCTTGCACTCGTGCCAAGGCCGATAAGCGTTGAAGTCGTCCTCCCCTTGAGTGCTGCGTTGCGGTCCCCCTCCCCTTGAGTGCTGCGTTGGAGTCCTCCTCTCCTTGAGTGCTGCGTTAGAGTCGTCCTTGAGTGCTGCATTGAAGTCGTCCCTGAGTGCTGCATTGAAGTCGTCCTTGAGTGCTGCGTTGGAGTCGTCCTTGAGTGCTGCGTTGGAGTCGTCCTTGAGTGCTGCGTTGAAGTCGTCCTTGAGTCCTCCCCTTGAGTGCTGCGTTGAAGCCGTCCTTGAGTGCTGCGTTGGAGTCGTCCTTGAGTGCTGCATTGAAGTCGTCCTTGAGTGCTGCGTTGGAGTCCTCCTCTCCTTGAGTGCTGCGTTGGAGCCTTCCTCCCCTTGAGTGCTGCGTTGGAGCCTTCCTCCCCTTGAGTGCTACGTTCGAGTCCTCCTTCCCTAAGGGTTATATCTAATGAAATAAGCAAAAGGCACCATCAATCCCCCCCACCTTGACTGAATGGTCAAGTGGGAGAAGTCTTTACTTCACGGTTTTATGGTGCAGTGGTTAGCACATGGAGCGTATACCTCCAAGACTTAGGTTCAATTCCTAATAAGACCCCTATGACCAAAATCGTCTCCCCAAGTAATTGGAGGGTCGATTTTGGTTGTACTTTTGTATCCTTTTCTTTTTTATCTAGGTGCTCTCATCTCTCCATGCCTCTAGGCCAAGCTAGACAGGACGGTGTGGCCTGATGAGACGCGTCTCGGCTTGACTGGCGACGGCTTGCACTCGTGCCAAGGCCGATAAGCTGACCGATTTCTCCTAGGAGTCTAGTAGAGCTGTGTGGGATAGGAGTAAGGCTTCTTCTATTGTTCTCCTACATGCCGGGTAGAAGCCTCAGGTTAATGGGCACCTGTCCGCGGACCGAGAGGCCATGCAGCTCTACCTTACACAATAACACTGTTCCCGTGGTATTCTGAGCTAGTTCTGGGATGCTTAATCTGATTGGCGGTGGTGTATACCGGGTAAAGAGAGGTGTTAGGTTTGCCGCGAGCCCTATAGAGAAGCGCGACCAGCCAACGTTATATTTGTCCTGCCGGCCGCATAGCGGAAGGATGGAATTCACCGGGCCAAAAGAGGTCCTACGCTACTGTTCTTACGTATTCTCGGATCTTTTTAGGGTTTAGGGTTACTCCTTGGGGTTCAAATTTAACTAAACAACCCTATAAATTAAATAAATATAAATATTAAAGATAGTTAAATATTAATATAATAATTAAGTTCTAAAACGTTAGGACTAAATAATATATACTTGTTACGGTATAAAGGTCACGGGTTAAGGAGACAAGTAAAAGTCGTATACGGCATGTGACGGAGTAGAGAATGCGACCTAGTAGGCTAAATCAGGACTAGCGCATTCTTGGTCCCTACCACCTACACCTATAAAGACAGGAACTCGAGCTAGCTATGCAGCTCTTCTTTCCTCGTCTTTTCTACTAGATACCAAGCGTACCTTTAGGTCCAAATACAAGTCTAGTACTCTCTTGCCTTTTCAAGGAGTGCCATCGTATCAACCGGAGGCTAGCCGTAATAAGGAGCTTATACTAGCTCCTACTTGAGTAGTCACGGATTTGGTAGAATATGTTAAGTCGTGTTTTAATAATAGTCCTAAAGTTAGTTAGTAATTACGTATACTAATTATAAGGAATAGTTGTATAATTAATATAACGGGGTCTTAATATTGATTTTAGATTAGGGATATAAATGGATTTGAATATTAATTTTGAATTGGTGATATAAAATGATGTAAACGTTAATTCTAGTTTAGTAGTGCTAGGCCACCTAAGGGGGAAAAGTCAGCTTTAGTAAACTAGTCCTCGCTAATTGAGTAAAACGTATCAAGTGGTATTTTAATAATAAATTTGAAGCTATCGATTGATTAATTAAAGTAAGCAATTGCGTTTAATGATTACTATCCAGGCGGCTTTGTTTTAAGGTAATTGGGGAAGCCAAGTGCTACGTCAAAGTCCTGCGAGGCATTTGAAGAAGTCGAGTACTGTATTGAAGTCTTGCGAGGGATTTGGGGGAGTCGAGTGCTCGTTGTGGCTTTAGTAGTCTATTGACTTTTGCGCCATAGCTTTTGAGTCTTGACACCTTAGGCATGACTTGATCTCCGCTGAAATTTTATCGTATCTAACATATGATTAACAAGCTAAAGTGTTTGTTCCCTTGAAAAAAAAATAAAAAAAAATATAAAAATAAAAATATTATATTTTAATTTTCTACCTAAGAAATGAGAGTTAAGAAATATAAATAAAATGCAGGAGAAACCCGAAACCCCCTTTCCTAAAATAAAAAAAATAAAAAACCTAAGCGAAAACAACAAGAGTACTCCCGCATTCTTTATATTAAACGCTTCTATATTAACCCTAACCTTATAGCTATCTTGCTAATTATATTTGTATCTATTGCTATTTGATCTACTTCTCGTCAGGGCAAAGGAGAGGAACATCCAAAAAGGCACAGAAGCCAGCAAAAATCCCTACGAGGCTAAACCGGGCACTTAAAGCCCGCTTAGTTGGAACACTAAGTAATGAACCATCTAGCTCCTTCCCAAGGCAGAAATTCCGGCTGCTTGTACCGTCGGCCGCTTGAGGATAGAGACAAATAGCAGTGCTTGGAGCCGGACCGCCATCTTGCTGTGCTTGAACTGCACGGACGGCATTACCACCAGAGTTTGCAGACGCTTTATAAGTATCAAATATCATGCCAGCGAGGAAGGCTAAGTCGATCGTTGACTTAGGAGCAATAACTTCGAGTGTCGCGCCGCCGACCGTGGTCTTCAGGCCACTAAAGACAGTGTCGTGGTTGCTGTCATCAAAGGTAGTATTTAGGTTGGCCAAGATCGAGTCGAGCAAGGCCGTGAATTGAGGGATGGTCAGAGGAGCTACCGCCTGGCCCGCAGTCGAGGGGATGTCTGCGACGGAGACGCGGTCGACAGAGAAACACGGGGATTCTTAATAACACCAGCCAGCTGAGCAGAACATGTCCGATTGCTTAGCTCCGATCGCAGAGCTAGCTTAGTCCGAGTACGCCTGGTACTGGTCAAGGACCGCCTGGACGTCGGCAGGAAGGTTGCTCGGCTCGTGGTCCAACCCCCCCAGGTTTAGCCCAGCAATAGCCTGGGCTACGGCTTGAACACCCGCAAGAGGAGACCTCGAGTTTACCTTGGCTGGGAAGGCGATGGCGGTAGAAACGCCAGCCAAACCGATCGCGAGGCGCTAGGAGGGCAAGTTAGCTTATCCTAGTATATAAGAAATGATTGCTTACTGAGTATTACATCTCGGGAGTAAGAAAGAAAGGGTCGGAGGTTAGAGCGTGAAGGAGTAGCCAGGCTAAAGTCGCAAAAATACGAATATAAAAAGAAGAGCTTAAGGATTGCGTCGTCCGGATGTTTATATGTAGTATACTAAGCTGGGGATATAGTATTTATTAGATAGGAATGATAGAACAAGTGAAGAGGATCGGGCAACGCTTTATATACAACTCTCGGTTCTCGTCTTTAGCCCTCTATTCTTAGCTGGGAGCCCAGCCCAGGCGAAAATGCCTAAAGGATTGTATCACATATAGTAGTCTTTAGCCGAGGGAAATTAGTCGTTAAGAAAACGAGTCCGGGGCCGCGCTAGCCAACTGATGCTATGTGTACACCTGATCCTTTAGAGCTGGGGATACTCGGCTTAACGTGGCGTATAAAAAGCAAAGGATATAATTTTGAACCCTAACTAAGCAGCGGCAGTTATTTCCGGCATAGTAGCTGCTAGCGATGCTAAAAAGGGGTGTTGGGTAGGTGTCGTGTTAGTAGCCTGGGACGGGAGGCGCAGCCTTGTCAGCCTCGCCTCGACGGCCGCTCGCTTCAAGGCGGCTAGGGCCACGGCCTGGCCATGGCCAAGCAATGAAACAAACAGTATACGGCACGGGTTGAGGAGGATCAGGCGCTTAATTTTATGTAAGCTCTGGCCATGTTTTTGTCCTTAAGCGGCTTTGACGTAAAGCTCTCGGCGTTGGTTTCTATTTCCTTCTGCCTCTCTTTAACACCGGGCAACCGCAACACAAGAAATAACCCTCCTATACCCAACTTTGCCCAGACCAGGACCCCCTCCGATACGCCGCCTCCTTTATCTTGAGTTTACAAAGCAGCCGATATGTCGTCTATTGGAATAGCAATTCTCGCAGCAGTTATGTTTGCAATTGTTGCTGGCGCCTTGATATACCGAACACTTAAACTTCGCGCATGGTTCTTTTATATGATGATTGTCGCAGGAGTAGGTAAGTCCTAACTGCTTATGAGAGGCTGAACAAAGAGAAAAACTAACCGCCAGTAATAGTGGAAACCTTTGGGTTCTTTTCCCGAGCATACTGGACAGCACACCCGGGTAGCGTCTTTGCGTTCTTGACGAGCTATATATCTATCATGTAACCGCGAATTCCAGAGGATGAGTGCAAGAGACAATGGCTGACTTGTTAACGCCAGACTCGGTCCTTCCTTTGCAGCCGCTGGTTGCTATATAGCATTCAGCCGGCTCCTCCGCTTTGTAACACCGGAAGCACGGTACAACGCACGATCGCTATGGTTGCCACCGACTTGGATTACCTTTGTTTTTGTTTCAGCCGATGTCGGCTCGTTTTGTGTCCAGCTGTTAGGCTTGCTTGTAGTCGCGGAGGCATATACTTCAAGCAGCCCCCCGGAAGGCACCCCGAATACCATTGGAAACGGCACGAATATTCTCAAGCTAGGATTGCTTATGCAGTTGCTTTGCTTTGGGATCTTTAGTATTCTCGGGGCGA